TGTCTGGGACATGAGTAACTGAAACTGATCCTTCGGACGGTGGGAATTTATGAATGATTGTATTGTAGCAGTATTCATATTATTTTATACACTGCACCGACGCGCCATCTATTATGAGCGTTGTACGTGAGTAAAGTAATCCAACATGGCAGCGCCCTGTCAACGTTGTAACTTCGTTCGTGCTTAATAAATCATCTTAACTACAACCAAGACTTGTCGAATACCATTACATGTATTAGTGTTGTAGCTCACCTAAGGATCAAGGGCTTCTTTGTAAACTGTTTTTGGTCTTCCTGTCCTGTGTGTGAATGAACATCGCCGTGGGTTTGCCTACTCGTGAGCGGGCAACATAGAGCATGCCATGGGAGAAGACAGGTGTGGTCAGGTCCAAGCCTATGGTAGTGAAAATCTGTCGTTGGGCTTTGTTTATTGTCATAGCATAGCAAAGGCGGATAGGGAATTGCAGTCTTTTAAATTGAAATGGAAGATCTGATGTTGAAGGGATGAGTGGTATGCGTGGTATGAATACGGTTTTGCCAGTTGCTGGTCCATGTAGGATAACGACGTCTATGACGTTGGCATGGCAGGCTGTGACTCGACAACGTGTTCCACTGGTGATGTTGATTGGGTCTAAAGATCTGAGGCCAATGAGGGGGAACCAGGTTTAAGAGTAAGTTTGTGTGGTGGTAAGCCTGCGGTATTAAGGGAATTCAAGAAATCCACAGGGAAATGGACAGCTTCGTTCACAGTTAGAGTCGAGTCCGACAGACCCTTCCAAAAAAGTGCCGACTCAAATTTATTAGCATTGTTGTAAAAAGAATATTAAATTGATTTATTTTAGACCAAGATCATAAATAAAGTCGAGAAATAGAAATTAGTGTTCCTAAACAATATTTTTCTATCATTTTTCCATCAAGATATGTATCGGGGTTTAGTTGTAGAAAATGAACACATTGAATGATAGTTTTGGTGTTTTTGACTTTAAAATAAATTTTTAAGTAAAAAAATGTTTTTTTACCTACCGACCTACCCTTTAAAAAAATTGATTTGGAACCGTAAACAGACGTTTTTTTATTTTATGCCTAATATCGAATTATATCAGCAGTTTGTAAGAATTGATATTAGAATTGAAATCCCCAATATCAGCAGTTTGCTTGGTTAGCAGTTAATAATTTCAGGAGCTTTCTGGTCAGCAGTTGATAATCACTGTCTGTGACTGTCTGTCTGGGGGTTTAACATGTTTTGCCAACAATACATAATTCATGCAGGAATTGGTGACAATCGGCAGGAATAATGCCATTTATTGACTGGGCAAACATGGTCACTGTGTTTGTGTAGGCCTACAAACTATAATTGATATTCAAGATAGAGGCATATTTATATTTCGGAAAACCTACCTTAAGTGCAGGAGATAAATGTATATTAACGTGTATTAACTCAGCTACAAAGTTTTCGGCGTCAAACTCAACCGAACGTGAAGATGTGGTGAGCACATTTTCGTGAAGAGCCTCATTATGGATTTTGGGATATCCCAGGTTCGAACTCACGACCCCTAACGTATGAGGCAAGCGTGCTACCACTGCGCCACACAGCAAGCTAGCAACGACGCGTACTACATTGGTTAATGGTAGTCGCTTCGATACACCGGTATGCTATTTTTAGCCAGTGTTAATTAAAACGGTTTCAAATTCAACTTTATCCTGCATGTTTTCATCATTGCAAAAGTGCGCCAATATTACTCTATGTGTGGTAATGCATCGTTTACAGTCAAGCAATTTCAAATCATGCGAGCAGATTCAGAGAACATAGCTAACAAAAAATGGGCTGTTCCCTTTTATAGTATAGATTTGGCGAGTTGTTTTTATAGAATCGTGCTCACCTAACTCCCGATCGCGTACTCGTCCCACATGTCTCATTATATCGTAAACTCGACGGCGACAAGTGAATTAGCTTCCTTAAGGCCTATTTACACGATGCGTTTTGGACGTACGTTCTAGACGTACGTCAGACGCATACGTCCAAAACGCACCGTGTAAACTATGCGGTACGACACGATTTTATGACCGTTGCGATATCGGATGCACAGGACGCATGTTCTAAATTCATCCGACATCGTAACCAGGACGCAAGAACCCGACCAATCAGGTGGGCGAGATTGGGTCACGTGCTTGGGTCACGCGCTTGGGTCACGTCTCTTCGCGATGAAAAATGTT